TAATAAAACCTTTTTAAATAAAACAGAAATAGATTAAAAAAAAAAAAAAAAAAAGGGGGGACCAAAATGGAATTTCCAACGAACAAGGAAAGGCATCAAGAAAGAATCTGGCCTTTCAGAGGGTAGGTAGAAGCACTAAGGGAAGACTGCTATATGAAAGAACGATGGACCTCAACAAGAGTGTGGTACACAACGAATCAATCATCATAAATTAGAAAATGGTGGGAGAAAACTTAGACCAACAGTGGCCAACACAACAAGAATGTTTTGTAAGTTAAAGGCCCGAAACTTAGGATACCTAACCCTTGACCTTAGGGAAAGGACACTTTGGACTAAGTCAAAATAAACAGACACCAGAACAGGGTGTAAAGTAGAAGCTACAGCCTGAAGCCTGAGCATCCAAACTGAAAGGAAGAAACTTCTGGGACACCTAATAGTAACAATAACTTACTGGTAAAAGTTGGGGTATAATACTAAACATAAGGTTTACAGCTATGAGATCTGCGGTTCTCATGGGAGGCAGACTACAGAGATATTACAGCTGTACTAGCTAAAGACTGGGGGTACTTCTGTCTCAACTGATCTCCTGCATTGAAGCAGGCACCCAGAAAGAGAACCAGTAGGTTTGAGCAAGCCACTGGTCGGTGCATAACCAAAGGGATACACTCCCTGAAAGGGCAAGTGAATAAAACATATCTTCTACATCCCAGGCACATAATCAAAGTGCCCTATGCATATGGACAGACATAACTTCCATGCAGGACATAAACGTAGATGCCTTTAACTGGCCATCATAACTGAAGGGCTTTAGACAGTTGCTCAACAAGTTGCACAACTCATAGGCCTAGTTCTGTGTTAGAGAAGTCCCTCTTAAAAGATGTGATCTATTGAGACATGGCATCAACAATTAAAATCACCGCCAAGAGAGGACAGTGTCACACCAAAGGGTTGTGCTATGGCTCTGAAACTGGAAAGTCATCTGCGGTGGAATGACACAGTGCACAAAAGTCTGGAAAGCACCACAATATAGGGCCCAGTGCCTGAAGGGTACATAATAGTCTCATATTACACTATTTAGAGCTCCACACACACACACAAGAAAGGTGTACAGAGACTGGACACTGTCACTGCCCTGGACTTGGGGAGTTCTCTGCAGTAAAATAGACCAGTACACAAAGTGTAGAAAGCAGCACAGTGCAGTGTTCAAAGGCCAGTCACATTCCAGGATATTATTAGTATATCCAGAGCCATAACCTATACTGGGAGACATCAGACACCAGGTCACACCAAGGCTGTACCACTGCTTTGAAACTAAAGAGCACCACCTGTAGGCAGCTGCATATAACCCATATGTCCAAGGATTACTACATTCCTGTGTCCTTCAATGGACTATAAATAAATTATCAGTCTGCATCCTATCAGCTCGAGTGACTGCTTTGCAGTGCTATTGTATTCAGGCAGCCATGGGCACTGCAGCAGCTGAAAACAACAGCTGCCACTGGAGATTCCTCCGATGTCTAGCGTTAATGGTGTAATTGATTGACTTTCTCTCGCTGAGAAAATCAAGCTGTGTATGGCTAGCTTTAGTCAGAACACATAGATGCTTAATGCATACCACTAAAAAACTGCATGGTTCAGAAGATAACCAAATTGGATGGAAAGGCAAATTCCATATTGTTTGCCCCTGCCATTGAAAAGTTGCAAAGATTCTTACATGGAGATCCTGCCAGTAGCAGCACTTCCTCCTGCAGGCTGACAACCCTACTCAATTGCCAGCAATGCTGTCAGGCTTATCAGGTATATCAGATACACAGCCCAATGGTTATCTTAAGGCGCTCACATGGCAGACTGAGAACGCTGCTGATTTTGGGTTTACATGCCCTTTAGCCAGCAGTCACCTAGCTAAAAGAAAACATGCGCTGTGTAATCTGGTGTAATACTAGAGAGAAAAGACTTTCAGATAATACATTTATATCATAACTGATGTCATGGAAACGTCTGTAGAACTGCAATACAATAAACCAGTCTCTTAGTCAGTCCAAGCCATCAGGTAAAATGTGGGATTTCTGGCACTGGCAATTAATTTATACTACTCAATTTAAATTAGTGGTAGGTCTTTAAAACATACAGTCCTAAATAAAGCAATCTATCACAAGCTGTCAGAGCAGACCTTGTGCACAAACTGCACCGGAGAAAAACAGAGCGACAGAGCAGACTTCACAGGTCAAATTAGGCTGATGTTCAGTTTTAATTCACTTAATCACCAACGACATAATTGTCTGCTACAGTAAGTAAACCACTGCAGGGCATAAAATGGGATTACATGTCCACGTGAAAAGGGTTATCTGTCTCCCCATTTCTCCTATGCCGGAGGGGTATGGAATACAAAGAGATGTTATACTCTTCGGGATGATCCAGGAAAATTGCTAGCGACTGCTAAAAGTGGGGGTCCCTAAATCACCCCTTCTTTTCAGTTCACAAGCAGATGAGCTGATCTAAACAGGTGAGAAATGCAGACAATGCACTATAAAACCATACTTTCAATTCCAGTGTGCTGGAATTAACCTTCAAGACTGATAAATTATGGTGATTCCAAAATGCAAAGCAGCCAAAAAGACTGTGGCACCAAATCACATGGGAGAAGATGAATAGAAAGTGGATAAAAACCAATAGTGATATTGATGTATGCTTTCATTTTCTAACCTGTGCTACCACAGTGACAGAAGGGGGCCTAATGGTTGCTAAATGGGTGGCAGACACTTTGTCTTTCTTCCAATATTACAGTTTGCATTAGCCCCAATGGTTAAATTAATGCAAGTTGTTATTTCTTTTAAAACTCGCTGTACACTGAAGACCATCCAACACTCCTTTAGCAGACGTCAAATGCCTCAGATATTACCATGTATGTGTTGGATGGCCCATTGTCAACAAGGAAGTTCTAAATTTAACAATACCCTGAACTATGGAAAGAAATGTTCTTTCTTACTTCTAAAAAGAGTTAACATCTAATTTTTATAAGTAGCTCTCATGCACACAAAACAATGGGGACAGACAGTTTATAAACCAGTGGTATGGCCTTACATGCACAAATGTGAATACTACTGCATTCAGCAAAATCCCAATTTATTTTCATGGATGGGAAAAGAAGAAAAAAGGCAAGAGGACAGCCCGGTATACTGTATTTCTTGTGAAAGTCATGTGACCAACCTTTCCAGCTTTTATGGAATGTTCTCTGCAGAGAACACAAATGGATAGTGTCGGGTCCTCAACGTGGCCTGCATTTGATGAGCAAACTGGTGTCTGTCGGAAAGGCGGTAGCAGTATCCGCTCTCCGTTACAAATGTCCCACTATTTATTAATCTTCACGTTAACTGATGTTATAGTTAATGTGCACTATGGCTAAGTAGCTTTTCCTATATTTAAAATTATTAATGCCCGTATAAAGATCTCTGTTTCTTAAAAGGGTGACTCCAAAAAAATAAAAAAATGCAATACTGCAAAAACCTTCTATGTCATCATCCTGCATCATATATAACATCATGGCACCATTCACAGTATCCAATCTACAACTTGGCTGACTAACTTTGTAGCCTCTACAGCTCAAATTTTGGGATTTTCTTTTACTTTCAGAGACAATGGCCACGAGGACAAATACAGAGGATAAATCTCCCTAACAGGGACACAGACAGCAATATAAACCTGACAGGTGTCCTAATCCCTCTTCACTCCATCTAAAACTTCGCTTCAGTTGCACTTTATTAAAGAAAACTTACAAAAAATGTACCAATAATATTCTATGTGTACAGCCAGGCTAGCTTTTTCATGCGATAGCCTACTGTGCATCACTTAAGGACAATACCAACAATTTTTTCTCATTGGAGGTAATAAGTAATGACATACACATTGTGGCAGTGCATGGCAATGCCACGGTGTAGTTTGGCAACTTTGGCACCCAGGACTCTCAGCCAGAGGGGCTGAGAGGGTCCAGAATGTAAACGGTTTTATAAGGAAGAAGCTGGCTTTTCAGATTCTTCTGGGTTTTACGAATTGTAGCTGGGATCCGGAGCTTTCTTAGAGCCTTGGGTGGGATGAAATCTCTAGTCCTGGGGCCAGGTGTTGCCAACAACCAGTCTAGGCGATCAGGTGGCTGAGAGCAGCCTTATTATGAATTCAGACCACAGATCAGAGTGGAGGTGGTGTGGCGTGTGCTGGAGGCACACGAGGGCCAAGCCAGTGAGGCTGGAGGATTAAGCTGCCCATACACCTTACAACCATCGCACGACTTTCGTTGTGCGATGGTTGTAAGGTGATTAAAATTTCGTACGATCTGCCCATTTTGGACAGGCAGATCGTACCTGCGATCATCGCTTCCGATGATTGCAGTGCTGAGCAGGCAGTGTGCGCTTGCGCACATCGGCCTGTGCGACATTCGTCTTCCGAGCACGCCACGTACGATTTTCGGCAGGTTTCCCAGCTTGCTCGGAAGACGTAAGTCGTGCGAACTTACAGTAGAAGCGGTCGCACGCTGCCCAAACACCTGCCGATTATCATACGATCGCGGGATCACCCGGCAGGTGTATGGGCACCTTAAGACACGTTGAGAGAGCCAGGCACACAAGGTGTGTGGAAAGCTGCTGGAAGCGGCTAAAGGGTATAAAGTACCTCTGAAGCGTTTTGTTGAGGAAAACGTTAAAGTCCTGGGACTGGGACACTGAGTGAACGAGACAACCTTGAGTTAGTGAGACAATATAATATACCCTATTTGCTGAAAGACAAGTGGACTTTGTGTTATATGCTGAAGATAAGCAAACTTTATTTTGTTATATGGTGAAGATGAGCTATTATTGTTGGATTGCTGTGGCTGTTAACCAGGAACAGGCATTATTTTCTGTATAGGCTAAAAAACGTCTTTGACAGTGATCCCTGCATGCTTACCATTGTGCCAAGTTCCCCAAATATCACAACCTATACATATAGGATCACAGTAAATTTGTTCTTACCTTTACAGCCAGGATCTTCGCACTGGAAACATGATATGCTCTGAAAAACACAATCAATATAAAAAAAATGAGTGCATGACATCTGCTTCTCCAACATGGAAGTTTTAGACTGTAAAATAGTTTTAGTAGTGCACATGTAGAACGTAAGGTTATTGGAAATATATCTTCCAATCAGGACACAGAATTTTACTTGCTGTGGCGTCTCATTAAAGATGAACTCCGGGTAAAGAAAACCTCATATCCTTGCAGTGAGGCTACCCCCGAACTGAAAGGGTCAAGTGATCATTTTGTCTAGGGGTCTTAAATAAAGCAAATACACTCACCTGATCATCGGTACCCTGTCAGTCAGTGCTCACCCCTCTCCCCCCTTCACTCTGGTCGTGGAATGTTCGTTGGTGTCCTCATGTCTAATGCAAGTCAATGAACCTCATGAGAGACATGATGACATCAGCAGTCCTTAGACTGCCAGAGCCCAGGGGAGAAGAGGCTGTGGGGACCGGTCTACCAGCCAGGACGGAGTTGGTGGGAATACAAAAAAAAACACAGCCTTGGGATAATTACCGGGCATGTTTTTATTGCTGTCTGTGTACCCACATTAGCGCCTGCGTTCCGGTCCAGTGCGATCCGCAAAAATGCTGCAAGCACTATTTTTGCAGGTCACATTGGACCGGAAAGCAGGCACTAATGTGCCTGCGTTCCGGGTGCGGGCAATCGAACTGTGAGCGGGGAACATGGCTGTGGTGCAACCCCACGCCACCTCCCACCCCTGAACGCAGGGAGTAGGCCGGCTTGCATTCCAGTGCGTTCTAGAGGCGCAGGTGTCCTATACTCCAGCGGTGCTCGTGTGGCCGACGTTGCACGCCGGGATAGGTGTCCCGCCCCTCTCCGTCTGCAGCGTCTGACACATTCAGCCGGCAGCCGCACGAGCACCGTGGGAGCATAGCCATAGCCAGCTCATTTTGCGCTAGTGGCAAGAAAAAAAAGGTGTGTGATATCACCCAGTGCCCTGCCTCCAGGATTTTTTATTTTATTTTTTACTATTTTTTATTTTTATTATTGCTTATTTAATTGTTATTTTTTAAATGTATTTATTTATTTATTTTTACTATTGGGAGGGCTCCGGGGAAATATTAGTGGTCTAAACAGCCCCCTGATATTTCCCTTTTTAAAATAGAAAAAGAAATTGAGGACACAAAGTCCTGTGATAGCGGCTCCGTCCCTCGCCCCCCCCACCGCCGACTGCAGCTTCACTTTTCCTCGGATCCCCGCTGCATACAGATACATCGCTACACGATCGACTGGTAGATCGCGATCGACCTAATGGGCACCCCTGTCCTAGATTGTTCACTTCTCCTGACTTCCCCAAACTCTTCACCCTTTTGTGAATAACTCTGATAGTGTTTTACTGATTTTTGAGATTTATGTGGTGCCACTGTTTTCCATGCACCCTGCTACAAGGTACACTACATGGTGCTAGATGGATGTTGAATGTTAGGAATATATACCGGACAAGGGTTTAACTTCAAACCTTTACCTACTCTATCCCCCCCCAAAAAAATTGGCTTTAGATACACTTCAAGCATACATATATCTGAGGAAAATCCAACTGATCAGGCAGGAAATGTTAGCTGATAGCGCCAGAGAGAAATAAAACTGGTAATGTTTGATGTGTCGAATGGCACCCATACACCTAACAAAGTCCAAGACCAATCCAGATCACATCACATCAGTCTGGGAGCAACCACAGATGAGTGAAGGTTGAACTCCCCCAAAGTAGCAATAGTGTCAATAGATCTACTCGGTGTACAGATAGTTACATATTATTTGAGGTTGAATAAAGACACGGGTCCATCAAGTTCAACCTTTAGGGCTTGTTCACACCAAATGTGGACCATATCTGCATGAGTTTCTGCACATGCAGTGCGTTTTGCTGCGTTCCATTGTAGTACGGGGGGTGGCCCCACCAAGGTTTATTAAAAATGTTCCTTGGAGCTCTTCTTAAAGTTATGCCACGTGAATGAGAAACATGTGACAAATATAAAATAGGTGTCATCTCAGTTTGGCCGCAAAAGTCGAAATACACTTTAAAGAATACAATGGAACCTTCTCTACTGCCAGCCTGCTGACTGGTCAGTAAAAAAGCAGCAGCAGACTGATGAAGCCATCTCTATGCTCACTCTGCTTCCTGCTCGTATTAGCATATTCCTTGTCAACACTTGCATGCCGCACATCAGAATAGTTTCCAGTCCCACCCCTCCCACTCTGAATGCAGCCATATAGGTGATACAAGAGTCTAATACCAAGTAATATCTAGGTTCTTACAAAAGATGCATATAAAACGGCATTTAGCTTATCAATTGATTAATGAAAACAGAGTTTCATTAATTTGTGTAATTTATCTCCCTAGAACTCAGATTTAAAACTCACACTGACACACTGGGGGGAATTTATCAAAACTGGAGCAGACAAAATCTGGAGCAGCTCTGCATAGCAACCAATCAGCTTCCCCTCTTCCATTTTCAAATCTTAACTGAACAAACTGAAGAGAGATGCTGACTGGTTGCCATGGGCAACTGCTCCAGTTTTTATAAATTCCCCCCATTGAAGGGAATTTATCAAAACTGGAGCAGCTGTGCATGGCATCCAATCAGCTTCCTTTTTCCATTTTCAAATCTTAACTGAACAAACTGAAGAGAGAAGCTGATTGGTTGTCATGCACAGCTGCTCCAGTTTTGATAAATTCCCCTCACTGAATATGAAGAATAGCATGCAGTAAGATCCATTGATGAATACAGATACAAAATATTTTACTGAAATGACACAAGTTAGGCATGACAAGTTAATGCGTGATGTCATACTTGGGGAAATTGTACAATGGCAGATACTGAGAATCCATAGCAAGCCACAGCTAAAGTACCATAAGAGGGACAAGTAGATCATAAATCACTAGCTGGGGACCACTAACTAAAAGGTACTACGGCTGCTAGGTTATGAGGTTAAGTATAAATTGTAGCCACCTAGTTTATTGGCGCTGAACCTCAACATTTCACACCCTAGGTTAATGGTACATTATAAAACATTTATACAAAGGTTATGCTCTGTGACTTATTTCATACAGGAACAAACACAACAGACTTCAACATGCGAATATCCTAAAACATTTCTCGTCTCAGCTCCTCTCTAAGTCTGCTTATCAATCTCCAAGATTCCCCAAAAAACCCTGGAGCTGTGCATTACAGTGCAAGTAGTATATCTAAATGGGAACATAAAACCTCTCAATTCCTCTCTCGTAAAATGATATGTAATAAAGCTTTCAATTTCTTAGGGTGAAAACAACATACACAAACTCTGACAATGCTTAGATTTAAAGCGGCCCTCTCGTGCAACACCGGCCAATCTGCCACATATGTAGGAACCTGAGCAGCTCACTCACACATTGTGTTGATTCGTGTTGATCCAAATTTCAGACACTTTTAAATCTATACATGGAGTGTAGAGTTTCAGGAATGTTTTCTGCATGTCCTGCGCATTTGAAGTTCGTTTCTTAATCAGATGACATTTAGTCTATTTTTGAACTTATTACTTGTAAGAAATTTAGGCTGTTCCCTTAGCAAATGGAATGTTTACAGCGAGTAGTAATTAGTAAAGTAAGGCATAGTCCATCTTTTAAAATGGATAATAAATGCCCCGTGCTGTTACATAGTCATAAAAATATGACACAATGCAGTGACGCTGGGAGACGGAGCAGCGTCCCACGGGGGAAAAATAAAGCATGGATGCACCGCTGTATCAGCAGAAAAATTGCACTTTCGGCATTATGCCAAAAGTGCCATTTTCGGCCAATATGTTTTGGCGGCCAATATATGGTGCAGCCCTAATATTTACAGCAATGCAGAATGGCACAGGCTATAGAGGACTACACATCCCAGCAATACTTTATATAACAATAGCATTTCTGTATAAAGTACTGCTGAGATTTGTAGTCCTCAGCAGGCGATTGCTTGTAAGTCATACAGCAATCGCCTGCTGTTAAAAGCGGTACCAAGAGCAGCCGTGTTCTTGTTTTAACCACTTCTGTGGGCCACCGTCTATAGACGTACTGCGACCCAGAAGTGGTTAAAGTGACATTAAAGTAAAACGGATGATCCGACACTCCCGGCGGAGAGACCAGGGGCCCGCCGCGCGCTGGATAACGATCCGGCGGCCGGCAACTTGCTGGGCCCCCCGAGAGCCTGAGGCCCCCGGGCGCCCGCACCGCCTGCACCGGCGGTAGTTCCGCCACTGACACAATGCATAGCCATAGTCAATATTTATATTAATGTGAATTGAGAATTTATATAGCTAATTTTCCTTAAGCCATTGGCTCATTGGCATTAGTAGCTGGATATTTTAATGCCATCTTGTGGTCGTTTTGGTTATTGTTCCATGTTTTCAGTGCTCCCTCCCATTTATGATGTTTTTCCCTTTGTTCATGAGGTAGTCACTTCTGGAGTCATGGCTGACTGTAATATGGCCACATGCACATGAATATGCTTGCTTGGAAACATTACCATCTCTGATCTTTAAGTACCATCTGTTCATTAATCTGCTGTATCCTGCTGTCCTGTTGTAACCTACAATAAAGCACTTTATGGATGAAAACGCATTTGGCGAGTTCAGCTATCTGATAAGGGTTGTCTGCAGTGATTATATCTGCTTATACAGGCCAGGCATAGAGGTCTCAGCAAGGGATAAATCGCTAATACAACAATCTAAGTCAGAATATGCACACAATTTAACCTCTTTGCATCCAGAGCAATTACAGGTTACATGTCTTTTTATGGAGACATCAGGGATCTATTAGACCCTGCTCTCCAATCCAGTCGATGAAGCACAGGACTTTTTACCCAGATTTTTTATAAGTTCAGTTGGTAATTTGAACCCAGACATGCTGAGAGCACATCGCTTCCAGGTTCAGTGATCGCAGAGCAGATCGGGGAACAAATGTTCCATGATCTGCTTCCACTTACCATCCTGAGAGCATTTACCATGGTCCTGGGC